GATTGCTGGCAAATTAGTATTCTCTCCATCTGACACAGATACATCAATCTGTCTCACTTGATTGAGGCTTCCCCCATCAGTCAACAGGTACTCATATCCCAGGTAACCCAAGAGTGCTTCATAGCGTTTCACGGAGGAGCTTGAAGCTGGATATACAAATCTGTAGCCTTTTCGTGCTGATGTGGAGCAGAATATTCTGATTTGAAGACCAGTACATAGGTCATAGGCAGCACTGCATGCCTCAAATACATCATCATCACATTCGAGGTCAGATACAAGGATGGATTCCCCTGCTCGTGTGCACCCTCGTGGATCCGTGGTGGCCGAAGTATTAAGAGGTTTGCAGGGATACCGAATCACATCGTTATCGGGATTGCTCGACTTGATGAACTCCACTTGAAGGTAGGTGAGGGAGTTTGAGTCACTATCGGTGACTCTGTACCCAGCATTAGACTGATCTTCAAACACTCCGCCACCATTCACTAGACCATCAACTGCGGCCTCTCCGTCTGCCTCTCCAATCAGTGTGAAGGTAGAAATGTTGTGGCTAGTAGTGGCATTGTAAATGCTGACAATGTGCCGAATCTGCCCACCTTGGTAGTAAACTGTGAGAGTAGTCCCTACCTACATATCCTAGGTCGAGGTCGACAAATGGTGGGTCGTTGTATGCTACCACCTCCACTCTGCCCTCAACTGCAGTACTGTTCAGAGTCGCTTCATCTTGAGCTACGATTGACAGAGTGCAGTTTCCTGGTTCACCATTTGACTGGAAGACAATGCCCTGCAAAATATTCTGGAAGATGTCATTATTCCGACACTCAAGAGTACTAGTAACAGTGAAAAGTGTTGTGTCTCCTGATTCTGCAGACTCAGTCAGCTCGATATCAGATCCACCGCTAGTAAAGGACAGACTCTCTGGAGGACAAATTTCTTGATTTCCTGTCAGTGTGACTTCAAGTCGACAGATCTGATCTCCATTTGGGTCTGTAATTGTACCAGAAGGGAAGAGGAGGACTCCAGCTGTTGCTGAGGTGTAGGTTATGCTCGAGTCCCTACCAGACTCACCTCCATTGAGGTCAACTACCGGTGGGTCTAAGGCACCCACAAACGAAATCATTGCTACAGCTGCAGCACTTTCGTCTTCTCCATCGCTCACAACCACCCTTACTTCCCTTCTGTTAAGAGTTGGAGGTATTTTTCTGTTGAAATAGATTATGCTGTTCAGGACGGTGGTGTACTCAGACAGAGATGAAGAACCATTGATTGTCAGTTGTGTGGTTGTTTGTTTGGTGTACACCAACCCCAACTGTTGAGTGGTGCTATCATCTAAGTCAATTTCAATTCCTTCAAAGACACCATCACTCGGTGAAATAAGCTCTGTGCTGGATGAACCATATTCTATGAGAGAGATGGACATGCTTTGGAGCTGGGCGTTATCGTGGTCAATTATAGTACCGTCATCCGTAACTGATACGGAATCACCTCCCAGTTGAAACTCGACCATTAAATCAGTTGAGTCTTCACTTAGATAGACTTCTGGAGGATCATTGACGGCAACAACTATCACATACGAGAATGATGTTGTCACTGGATTATTTGCGTCGGCAATAGTGAAATTGATTGTGCGTGTGCCTTCAGTAGGATTTTCAGTGAGCGAATTGGTGTACCTCAGTAGCTCAGTATCAATTTCTAGCCTTGATATGCTTCCTGTTAGTTCTAGGGAACAATTGTCTGAATCGTATGGCAGTGAAACTGTTGACCCACCACTACTGGCAAACGCAAGGGAATCTTCTGATGACACGCACCCAGACACTGAAATGAATACAGTGTATGACGCCGATTGTTCGGAATCCTTTTCATTAATCATTACATCACCACCAGTGACACTAATGGGTAAGTTTCCTTCAGTAAACGTGGTGGTGAAATGTTGATCGTACGGCCAGTCAAGAAAAATGACGGGAGAATTATCATTGACATGCTCGATAATGATGCTGATGAATCCTGTTGCATCTAAGCAGGGAGATGTGGCAGGATCGATGAGCATAATCTGAACCGTTAGGAGGTTCACTGCAGGTTCATCCCCTTCATCTTCAAATTGAATGCCTCGTAATAGTGTCTGAAATGTTGAGGGACTGGCTGGGCCCTCTAGTGTCAGCATCTGGCTCTGGTTGTTATACGACACAGTGATTTTTTCGTTGGAAATACTGGATTTTAGGATGCACTTATCGCATCGAATAGAGGAAGATATTGATACAGTGACTTGCTGTATTTGAGGGTTGCGATCATCATCAGTAACATTCAGGGTAGGATTCAGAGTCAGAGAGCCACTATGCTCAGTGTATAAGAGAGTGGTAGGGCTTAGTTGCAGTACCGGGCATATATCACTCACCAGTTCAACATTAATGAAGGTGTAGGATGGAAGACTAGTAGAAAACTCATCGGAAATTACAAATTCAAGTCGGCGACGATGGTCACTTGGCTCAGCATCCAAGACTTCAAATTTCGTCATTCTGATGATTGCTGTCCATATATCAATCGTCTGTGTTCTATCAGATGTATATGTTGCACAAGCATCACCCAAAAGCGTGATGGAAGTAAAGTTAAAGCTAGCCAGCTGAGAGGGAAGAATAAGGTTATCGTTTGAACGGCCATATTCCGGTAAATCACAGGTGCCATCTTCCTTTGAGACGGTGATTTCAAGATAGCTGAGCTCTACATCATTTGCATCTCTCTCTAAAACTCTAGAGTTAGTGGCTGCAATACCCACTGGGTTACCTCCTTCGGTGTAGGTTGTTGTATAATGGGTAACACCGGGGCCTCCTAGCTCAATCTCCGGAGGATCATTGACGGAAGTGACATAAATAGTTGCATTGCCTGTTTCTGTACTGAATGAAGTTGCACCGGCAGCTGTGGTGTCCACATTGGAGGTTCCCGACGAAATTCCGTCACTACCATCCCATCCTTTGAACCCGAGGGTTGTCGGACCGACAGCATGTGCAAGGGGGACAAATCGGATCAGATTGTAAGGACCTGCAACAAGAGCAGAGGTCTCTGATACGTCTCCCACACTTGTGTAGTTGATCACGACGGGGTCTAGTGGGATATTTATACTACTGCTATCATTGTAAGTCAGTGTATAGGTCCCGTTTGCACCAGAAAAGGCATCAAACTCCTCAACGGAAAAATCAAAGTCAATATTGGTATCGTCAACATAGAGTGAAGTCAAATCAACAGTGGAAACAGTCCCAAGAATCAATTGTACCTGAGAAACACTAGAAAAGTCCACATCTTCAATGCCTCCAGTCGTTTGTCGTCTCCTGCGTCCGAAAGGTGGCGGGCGAGGACAGGACCTCACCAGCTGCCTATTTGTTTTGATAAACCAGAACTTCATGGTGTTTGTTAGCTCTTGACACTTCCAAATTTTGAATTTCTTTGCCTCCGGACCAACCTGAACTCCACTTATGGATACACAGCTAGAATATTCCGAGTGCCTGTCTGAGCAAAACGAGCTTGTCGCTGGAATGCCAAGCTCAGGGTCTGCTGAGCTAAAATGGCCAATTAGAGCCACACCAACAAATCCCTCCGCGTCAGAATCCTCCACGGCATCTCTGAATACAATGCCCACAACTTCTCCCCTGTTTTCCTCGTCTGGTATATCTTCACTAACGTTCTGAAAGTATACCTGGTCTTCTGCAAGGACCGGTCTGTCATTGACGGCAATAAGAGGCAGTACAAAAGTGAACGATACCAGCTCCGTGCATGATGTGGAGAGGATGGCTATATCAAATATGGGAAGAGTTGGGTCAAGAGCAGTGCCTGTAGAAAGGGCGCTACGTGTATCTTGTGAAAGAGAAAGTGGCACATTATTTCCAACAAACTGGTCACACACAGAATATACTATGGTTCTGTTGAGCGGTGGTGTCATCTCATCAGCTGTGTTGTTGTAGAGTGCAGACTGAAGTATGCTGGACATTTGGGATGCATTTATCCTCCCGGCAATATACAGGCTAGAGTCTAAATAACCTGTCTTAATTCCATCTGGTACAGTTACTATCATCGACTCATTGATATCCACAGCATCGGTGATTTCAATGGTTGCAAAAACAAGATCAAAATCGGTGTCATCGTCACTAACTACTATATCTGCAACTCTGACAGCCTCTCCTCCCTCCACAAAAACTGCACCGTCCACCAAACTACCATTGGCACTTGGACGGTTGTCATTTACGTCTTCAATTGTAACAGTAACTTCAACACTCCCACTTAGTGGGACCTGGCCACTATCAGTGGCAGTGACTACAAACGAGTAGGAGAGGTCTCCCTGTTCGTAGTCAAACTCTCTTGCTGTAGAGACCTCGCCTGTTACATTGTCAATGACAAAGTATGCTGATTGCAAGCGGTATTCAAGCATGGCATTGTCGCTGATGTCTGCGTCAGTGAAAGTAACATTCAGTACAGGAGTTTGGGGTGGGCTTCCTTCTGGTATGCTAGCTGAGAAAGCTGGCATTGAAGGCATGGGGGCATTGTCATTCTGGTCTAGAATCAATACGCTGATGTTGTACGTCGAGGCAAAGAGGCCGTCAGATATTTCAACGGCAATGCTAAAGCGGCCAGGGCCTGTATCACGATCCAAAGTACTGCCCAAGCTGAGCTGGCCTGTTGCTGTATTGATGGAGAAATACCCAGCATCATTACCTGAGACAATTGTAAACTCTAAAGCCGTGTTAGCAGATCCATCTAAATCAACAAACTGGAAGTCGAGTGGCGAGAAAGGCACAGTGGACTCTTGGCCAAGTGAGGCGTCACAATTCCCAATGAGGGACGTGGCATTGCAAGTGGAATCGCTGAAACAGCCTGCATTACCGAGACGAATAAACACTCTACCTCCTACCGACAGAGCGTCTGCGGCAAGAGGGGCTACTGGTTGAGTGGGCAGTATTCCGAAAAAGACTTGACAGCGTCCATTGTACCCCGAAAGGGCATACACTGTGTCGAGATTGTAGGTGGAGGAAAGGCTGCCTGCGCTAAAGCCACCTTCTACTGTGCTACAGTTGGAGAACTCTCGTGGGTCATACTGAACGCCCCTTTCTATTTCATTACCAGTGGTAAGGTTGCACTGGTAGCGGCCATTGGCAATGCCCCCGTTAAGTGCCTGTACGTACGTCGGAGACTGGAAACTGACAATTCGGTCGGTAATTTCATATTCCGTTTCCATAAATGTGCTCCATACATTGAGGAACCTGTTAAGAATACCAGTATTGCTTTTACCCAGCATAAGTTACATTTAAGCAGTTAGGACTAGACAGACTTAAGTTTAAGTTGAACCTAAAACAGTCTGTCTCACTTAGGTGTATACAGTACTGGCAAATATAATAGGTGTTCTTAGCTGCTATAATACCTGACACTCAATACAAAAATTTTTACTGAGTCAAGGCTGCCCTGCATGCTAGAATTGAACTTCCCCATTCTCTTGCCCTTATGCTGGTAGCTATGTATCACTAACTACGGTAGTACTTAGTATTATAGGGATAAGCATGCCTTTTTTTAAATTCGCAGGATTTGTAATATATACCTGTCACGTGTATCGTCAGTAGGGCCATTTGTGTACACCCCAAGAATATCACTCTCCGTGTCATCTGAAAGGGGCACACTGATTGTTGACTCCCTCGTGTTCCTTGGGACTGCATCAATAGTCTGCATCCAGAGAGGATCTGCGACAGTATCGATGCAGTTCTCTCCGTCCATGTATGTCACTTCCTCGAGACTGATGGACCCATCTCCTCCAACAGTCATGAATTGACAGAGAACCACAAACACCTCTGAGTCCGTCAGAGATGCTTCTTTCAGCTCTCTCAGGTACAAACCTGGCTCCACTGTAGGACAAAAGAATATACACTGTGCTTACCAACAGAATACACACCACACAGTATTCTTGTGCTTTCATCAGGAAGGCAGCAAGAGCCAAGGCAACTGGTTAACACAAGCCTACAACAAAAGTATTTTGGGAAAGTGAATCCCTTGCTGAAAGAAGTTGTTGTACTACCTTCTGTGCTCCACTGGGATGCAGCCAATGTCTGAAGAAATGGCTGAGGTGTTTTCCTCCACGAATATGTAGTACTGGCTAGGATCGGCTTCAGGGTTGTGCTCATTGACATCAATCACATTGATCCTCACTTGTGTGGTGCGAAGATTAGACGATTCCGAGATCGGTGAGTCGCGAGCAATCACAGTAAATACATACTCAGACCCGTCTTCACGATTTAGAGTGATACTAGTAGTGATGAGACCGGTTTCATTATTGATGACAAACAGTCCATCTGGTGCATCGGACCCAAGCAAGTACTGCACTCTGTTGTTTCCGTTGCTCTGTCCTTCTGGTGTTAGACCATAGTCACCATCAGTGGCTGACACTTGTACCACAGACTGCCCGGGATCAAGGTTCTCCATTACTTCTCCCTCATAGCTGTCTGCAGAGAAAACCGGAACTATATCGTTTATGTCCTCCAGCGTTATGTTCAGTTGAGCCGATATTGTACGGACGGAGGAAAACTCGGCAGCTGTATTCTGATCAGTTAGCTCAATAATGAAAAAGAACCTTCTTTGCCCTTCATCAGCATCCAGTAGGGAAGCTGTGACAGTCACCTCTCCAGTAGCAGTGTCAATGGCAAACGTGTTCAATCCTATTGAGATGAACCGCAGGTCATAGTTGATGTCAGGATCACCAAAATCTACAGTGAAAACTGCAGCATGCTGAGACGCCAGCTCTGAGACAACAATATCAGCTGGGAGATTGTTAAAGAATGGAGATTCGTCGTTGATATTTCCTACGGTTACTTCTACTTGAGCTGTGGATGTTAGTGCGGTTGGAGTTGGGTCGTTATCATTTGCCTCAACCACAAGTGATATGGTGTTAAAATGTTCGTAGTCAACTGGTTGCAACTGATATACTTCGCCTGAACTGGTGTCGATGCTGAACAGATGTGAACCAATGCCACTTCGGAGTGTGTACGTGATGTTCCGATCACCTAATACTTCATCTACGTCTGTAGCGGAGACAGTCGCGATTGGATCAGCACTTGGCTGTTCGTTTTCAGTAATAAAGGCGAGGTAAGTTGGGGCAGAGAATCTTGGATGAAACTCATTGATTCCAAGGATCCTTACTGTGGCTATGTATGATGTCTTAGTATTTGAATCCCTGGCACTGATATTTACTACGAACTCCGATCCATGGATTTCTCTGTCGATGTGACCCACAACAGTTAGCAAACCAGAAGTAGAGTGAATATCAATAAGAGGTACCCCTCCAATCTCATTTCCAGTGATGTCATACTCAATCGTGTCGAGGGCATCCGGATCTACAGCTACAACCATTGATGGTGAGAGTGGTGCGCCGAGAGTTTCATTCTCCGATACTTGAAACGTGAGCGGAAAGGTCGTGAAAATGGGTTCGAGGTCTGGGAGGTTGGTCACTGACACGGAAACAGTGATGCTTGTAATGAAAAGTCCCGATCTAGCCAAGACAATGAGGGAGTAGTTGGTGGCATGGTCATCATAGTCAATAGCATTTCCATCTGATACCCGTATAATGCCTTCATACATGTCGTCTGGGTTGTTGACAATGAAGAAGTCTGATGTTCCAAATGTGGGAATTGAGTCTGCGGTGATTGAAAAACTCGGTATATCATTTCCAGTCGGCTCATCAAGATCTGTTATTTTGACTCTTCCCACCTCTGTCCCACTAGTTGCATTCTCAAGCAAAACAAAGGCCTCTGGGATTTCCTCAAATACTGGTTGGTTATCGTCAACTGGTGTGATTGAGATCTGGGTATATGCGGGATTGGTGGTGGCTCCACCATCATCCTGCAGTACAAACTGAACCAGACGGTCTGTGGTATCTGTTAGCTCCACGGCTGTATTGTTGTAGACAACATTCGAAAGCAAACTTCTGTAGGCTGGTATGAGAGCTAACCCACTGATCTCCAATCGCGAGGTAGACGAAGTGAGAGTTAGTTGAGATGGAAGGGTATAGCCTGAATCAAGTGACAGCGATTCCTCAGCGAAAGGTTCGAGTAGAGTGACAGTTAGTGAGCCCATCGTGTTGTCATCTTCATCAATTATCACGACATCTCCCGTGATTTGTATAGGGCCACCCTGTTCCACAAAGTTTGCACTGTAGTTGACGGTAGTTGACAGGCTGTCAAGGTCTAGAGTAGGATTCTCATTGACTGTGACGAATATGATCTCTGCAACAGCAAAGTTGCTTCTTGCAATGGCGTCAGAAGCATAGCAATTGACCTCCCTTGCCATATCTGTGGGGTTACTGGTGGTGCTGTTGTATTGAATTAGTGTTATAGCCATTGCATAAAAGGATATGTCGGCAGTACCAGTGAATGTGACACTGTAGCCATCACTTGAAATAGTGGCAGTCAGTCCATTCGGTACTGTACCTCTGATAACTAGGAACTCATTAGTACCGTCAAAAGGGTTTGTCAGAGAACACTTGAGCTCTGTTAGCATTGAGTCATCATCATCAGTCAGAGACACAGATCCCACGATGGACACTGCTCCCTGCCCTTCGTGAAACACCGTGCGGTGTCCGGTGCCGCTTGCCACAGCATCGAGGTCCAGTTCTGGAGGATCATTGACCGCTTCAAATATTACATACGCCTCCCTTTCAGGGCTGTAATTGACACCGTCGCGAACCTGAATGAGTATTGTCCTTGAATTCGTGCCCATGGCACAGTCGTACAATTGCTGATTACAAACTGAGATTTCATCCTCTGTGTTGGTATACTGAATGTGTTGGATCAGCTCGTAAACATCACTTAGTTGAGTTGGGTTCACTGGCTCTAAGACTAAGACTGAACCGCCTGCAGGTGATAGGTCAACGTACGGTGACAATACAGACAGGCTGACACTGAGTTGCTCCAGAGAGGGATGTAAAGCATTGGCTACTCTTGCCCTAATCTCGGAAATGATCAGAGGAACTTGGTCAGGATCAGTGATGAGTGGATCAGTTGCGAGTGTCACTGGCTCAGTTGACTCTTCGATAAAGACAACGGGGATGCGAGAGTTGGCTGAATCAGGGTCCGTTGCATTGAGGTCTAGTGTTGGCTGGTCGTTATTGATAGGGGTGACACTCACAATTACTTCAGCAGTGGCACTATTGGAGCTGGGATCAGTAGCCACACATTCAAAGGAGTGGTTTGTAGCTATGTCGTGATCGGTAGAGAAAAGGATTGTGATTTCGCCAGATGCCGAGTTTATTTCAAAATCGGTTGTGCCCTGTAGCGAATAGGCAACACTCGGGCTGTCAATATCTTCAGCTTCAATGTGCCCAATAGATAGTGGGAAGGAATTGTCTTCTATGACATTAAATGTGAATTGGGTGTGGGTGAACTTAGGGGGAAGTCGTCTTCATTGATGATGTTTACTGTGACAGTTGCAGTGCCTGTCAGGGCATTAGATCCACCACCATCTGTGGCTATGATGGTGAATCGGCAGGAAGTCACCGTCTCGTGGTCAAGACCTGGAGCTAGGGTTGACAGTGTTGGAGGATTTACAGTTGTTGCAAAGAGCCCCACGCAGCCTGTCCTTGGAACATATGTGTTCGTGTCTATGGAGAGATCCACAATATCGGCATTTGTTCCCGAGTCTGCGTCAGTGATGACAAACGTTGTGATGTTGGTAATGGCATTTTCTGCAACTTCGAGGGTGTACGACTCCTCTGAAAAAGTCGGTGGTTCATCGTTGAAGTCAGTAATGTTGATATTGAGAGAAAACTCACAACAGAATTTGTCCGGGGTTATGCCGTTGTCGCATGCTTCAACTACAACGGTGTGGGATTTTACGCTTTCAAAGTCAACGTTGGCAATTACACTGACTTCGCCAGTGGGAGAACAGGAGAATAAGGACTCGCCACCTTCAATTAGTTCATAGGCCACTTTTCCCCCTATCCCCACATCCGCATCGGTGGCTATTAAGGTGTGAACAAGCTCCATTGGCGTCACATCTTCACGAATGGTTACAGTCTGTTGCTCCGGTGTGCACACGGGGAAGTGGTCGTTGATGTTGATAATGGAAATGTTGGTGAAGGAAAAGTCTTGAGGGGCGCCTCCTCCGGGATCAACGACAAAATCAATGATTCGAGTTGTGGGGTTTGGTTCGTCTTCTGTGTTTCTGTACCTCACGTGTCTTATGGCTGTTAGGTAATCCTCCAAAGGAGCCTCTCCACTGAACGTTATCCTTTTCAATATCGCATGAATCTCGATACCAATCTGAAGGCCGGCTAGATCTGCAGTGTTGACAGATATTTCCTCGCCCGCTTCTCTTATTCCCCCCGGTAAAATGTTTCGGATCGTCACGTCAACAGACTGGAGGGTCGTTAGAGACGTGTCTACAATTCGAATCTGATCCCCGACAACGGAAATTCTCTCACCCTGCCCCTCGGTGTACTCAGTGAAGTAGTCTTGATTTGGGACGTCTAGCTGGATAATGACTCGAGACTGGTTTGCAAGGAAATCTATGAGAATTTCGGTGGTAGATGCGCTCAAACTTAGCTCGTCTCTCACACGTACAGTGATGATACGGTCACGCAAATTAGGAAGTTCCAAGGGCTGCTTCAAATTCACGTAAGCCAATGTTCGCAGGAGAGACTGGTAATCCGAACTAGGTGCAGTTCCACTCAATTTCAAACTGGTACCGTTGCATGGGGAGAGGTTACAACTAATACTCGATCCTGATGGCAGAACGCTCATGTCAACCGCCACAGATTCATTGCCAGTGTCATAGGCTTCAAAGTCAACGGTGAGCTCCGAGAGATTGGGGCTGTCGGGGTCTTCCAGTGTGGCATCGGGAGTTAGTAGAGTCGGTGGATCAGCCTCTGTATACTCCACAATGATGGTTGTTCCGTCGTTATCCCCGTTCAAATCCACTACTGGCACATCATTCACCTCTTCTATGGCTATTCTGGCCACGGCAATAGGATCGTTTGTAAACAACCCGTCAGAGATGATGAAAGTGACGACCCTTTCTTCTTCCCCGAGCTCATCTGCGATGTTAGTATACCGCAGACGCAGGAGAGTGGTAATGAAAAAGTCTCTGATCGTTGAAAAAGACGGGTCAGATGCAGTTAGGACCACGCAATGCGTATTTTCCCCAGCCACTGTTATTTCTTCGGGGGCATCTTGTGAGAGGCTCAGATACTCTTGCGATATGTCGAGCCGAGGGTTTGTGATGTTGACGGTGATGCTCATGATCTTTGGGTCAATATCCTCATCGGTGATGAAGACATCATCGTCCACAATTTGCAAATCTGTGTCCTGATCTTCTCTGAAAGTGACGCTGTAGTCTCTTCCACTCACGTCTCCGCCATTGAGATCGAGAACCGGATTGAATTGGGTGAGCCGTCCATGGACATCAATCTGGGCAATGTTCCCAGATCCTTCATCAAACACCTGAATATCGGCCAAAAACAAGAATTAGATACAAGAACTGAAAGGTCAATTCAATTATTGTCTCCCTCACCTGTACTGAGATTCTCCAAGGTTCACCCTCCTCTTCTGTTGGAACAAAGCCATTGTCAGAGAAAATGAGTGTCCCCATGAATTCTGTGTACTCGGTGTCGCCAATGGGTACGCTTGGGTCAGCAGAGCTACTGAACTCAAACAAGCGCTTGGCAGGATCGTAAAATGTGGTGAAGCCACTCACCGAGCCATCGGGGAAAATATTGACGTCACAAGAGCCGAGGCAGTTGTAAGCGTCAGTGCTCAAGGGGTTCGTTAGAATCAACTGCCGCATTGCCCCGTCCAATGCATAGGACAAGCCTCTACCACTGGAGCCACCAATATACCCTGTAAGACTGTCAATCACGGATTGAGTCTTTACAAGGATTGGCGCAGGCATGTCATAAATGGTACCATCGTTAGTTAAAAGAATGTTTGTGTCTGTGGAATCGTAGTAGTTACCCTGCGTAGACCTAAGAACATAGCCATCGACGGTTAGTGAAATGGTGGGAAAGTCGACCGAGAGAGCAATAAAGTGCCATTCATTGTCCCTCAGACCGTCAGGAAGTATATTCGGGTCATAGTAAAAGCTAAGGGCCACTTGACTCTCATATCCAAGATCGTCCCCCTGCTCGAGATTGCCTATAGTGTCTCTGAAATAATACAAGATTGCCCTGCTTCGCGATGAGTCGAAGAGAGAGAAATACCGGTTCCTTCCAGTCTCAAAAGAGAACATGTAGGAAGACCCACTTGTGGGATCCACCATTATCCAGAAGGAAAGGGTAAAAGCCTGGTTATCAACGTGGCTAAAGAAGTCGGCCTTTGTTGGATCGGAAATCTGGACCCAGTTTTCATTGGTGTGTGAACCAGTGAACAAATAGGCAGTGCTCTCAAGGACGTCTTGTACCAGTGATGCAGCTGAAGCTGACGGAACCACTGCATCTGAAAGTAGATCTTCAACGACGGTGGTCCCACATAGCTCAATGGCACTGCAGCTTGGGTTGGCCGGAGCACTGCATGAACACACTCCGTAGTCCAGAGGAAACTCAACCAACTGTGATAGAAAGAAATCATTTCGTCAAGCTATACATTGTTGCATGATGCAAAAGTCTACCTCTCCCCCTGAAATTCTGCTGATTTGCAAGACGCCTCGCTGAAGACGGGAACTGTCATCGTCAACTTGCAAAGGTCCTCCAGTGCCATTTGTAAGGTATACATCCGTCTCATCTGACAAAATGAAAAGTAAACTATAGTTGGCGACAATCACATCTATCTGCTAACCTTCATCTAAGTTGAGGAGAATGGTCTTTCGAAGTGGGAGCACGACAGGTCTTCCGTCGGCTACGTCCGTCACGCGTACGACAACGCTGGCGGAGTCCGAACGCTCACCGTCCGATACCAGAACGGCGAACGTGTACGAAGGTGTGGCTTCGAAATCGAGCTGGTCGCGCACCGTTATCGCTCCAGTGTTGGCATCTAGCTGCAAAGTCAATTCAGTGTTAGTATCGGCAAAAAAGTACTGCAGAGAGTCACCGTCTGCGTCGTCCGCAGTGAGCGTAACTACGAACGCACCCTCTACGTTTTCGGGAACGTCGGCCTCGTACGAGTCGGGGTTGAAAAGCGGATCGTTATCGTTGACGTTTGTCAGAGATATGCTGAGTGTTGCTTCTGAGGTTAGTGGAGAGATGGGATCTTGATCTGAGGCTACTATCGTTAGCTCGAAATTTCTCCTGTCTTCGAAGTCTAACGCGCTGGAGTCCGTCACTCTTACGACGCCAGTGTTTGCGTCAATGGAGAACACGGTGCTTGTCAGGGAATAAGCTACCGTGCGGCCTTCTGGATCGACAGCGCTAACCAAATCTATTTCAGTCCCGACGTCAGAATTCTCCGGTAGAGAGAACGAGTACGTTGCATTGTCTGTGAACAGCGGAGCGTCCTGGTTCGGCACACGCAGCTCAATCAGGGCGGTTTGAGTGTTCCCAGCTCCGACTTTGTCGTAAGCCGTGATGGTAACGTTTCGCTGAGGCTCCGAAAGCGCGCTCGAAGTCAAATTCGATCGGTAGCTCAAGAGCTGGAGAACTGTACTATAATTTGCCGCGGAAGCATTGAAGGAATCCGCGCCACCAATGCTGATCTCGATCTCACCCCCTTCCCTTACGTCGACGACAACGGGGAGTGAAATTTCTCTGAAGCTCGTGTCAAGCAGCAGGTCTTCCTTCTCTAAACCGCCGCCGTTCAGCTTTGCTATAACATACTGGATATCCTCGTCAACGTCCGTCACCAGATTTGCAGTGTCTTCGTTCAGGGCGAGCCGCGCCGTGAAATATTCGGCCGTATCAACCAGCACTTCAATTGTTGCTACGTTTGCGCCACCTCCGAAAAGGTTGAGGACAGGTCTCTCGGCGCAACCGCACTCAATGCACGCACCGAATGCGAAGAGAAAGAGCACCCATTCACGCAGTGATGTCTCCATCCTGCGGATAAGGCCGTGCAGGTGCAGGTGGACTGCAGAAACAACCTGCAAAAAATGAAGTCGTAAGCTGCAGCGATCAGCCCCGCCCACGTTTCGCACGCACTATACTAGCTAGCTACACCTTGAGGAAATAATTTGTAGCTAGGTACAGACTTACGTATATACCTCTTTGCTGAAAACCGCAGTTCGTTCTTCTTTGTTGTATTAGTCCTCTTTAGTAATTCGATATTCGACCAGTATCTTGTTGCTGTTGGCAGAAAACACTGTTTTCAAGGTGCGCTTGCACATGCGGAGAGAGGGCGTGTGATGGTTGGAGTTTTGGCGCTAAAACGTTAGCAAACAGATGAATAAAACCTGGCGCATGGTCGCAGTATATCTCTGCGGAATTATTCATGAGCTGCAAGGTAGTGCTCCATTCTAAAAGCCATCTTCGAGTAGACTAAACACCCCTCCCCTTTACAACTTCGGTTATATTATGCGCATGCGCATTCTTAGCTCGCTGCGCGGGCGTGCGTGCGTACTACGTACGTGTGGTGAGATGGACGCCTTTCTGAAAGGCTCGTCTAGCAGCAAACCGAAGTCGCAGGAGAAGTCTAAGGCAGCACCGAAACCTCAAAAAAGCATTCCGTGGGTCGAGAAATAGTGAGTTGCTGCTTTGCGCGATGTTCATGTTCCCCATTATTTTTTCCAAATAAAGCCGCCCGCGTTCAGTGGAAGACGTAGCGCATCAAGACGAGGTCGTTGCAGTGCTAAAGAAGAGCTTGCAGGGATCAGATGTACGTGAATCAACTGGTTTTTATCACTGGAAATTTTATTTTGTTGAACTCCAGCTTCCAAACCTACTTTTCTATGGACCGCCAGGAACTGGCAAGACGTCGGCGATTCTGGCCGTAGCTAAGCAGCTATTTGGGTGAGTTATGGAGTCTGCACTCTGTGACAACTGCAATAGACATTGTATGTTCATTTGGTGGGCAGGTGGGAGCTGTACCGTTCTCGTGTTTTGGAACTGAATGCGTCCGACGAGAGAGGGATACAGGTAAAGAGGGACGTTACTGTGAAACTTTCAAGGAAGAAAACTTTTCAATTAACAATTTTTGTGGAGAAAACTTACTGATTGCTTGCTTCACTGCTATAATAAAATGTGTATATACACCCAAAAAAATTTCACTGAAAATGGCTCAAAAACAGTGACGTTCGTTGAAGTTCTCCTCTAAGTTACTTGCTATACATAATTATTGATTCAGACCTTGGAGAAAAGATGTTTTTTCTTCAGGTAATTCGGGAGAAAGTGAAGGGATTCTCCCAGCAAAGTGTGTCCGCTGTTCGGACCGAGTGAGTGTGTCTCTATGTCCATTAGTATGTCTATGTCTCTATGTCCATTAGTATGTCTATGCATGATGTATGGAGTAAGTGTGTCTGTATGCTCTACTAACAGTATGTATGGGAAATCTAGTGCCATCCCTCATTGGATGCTGCAGCACATTGCTAAAAAGCGAGGTTTACCATATCGGTGGGCACTCTCTGCCATTTACCAAAATGACATTTTGCAATCTTGTCGCGTTTAACCCTTGCATTGTGCTTCTTGTACAGGAGGATGCAAGGAGAGGGTTAAGTGCTAGTGTTTAGGTGATTCCTGTAATGCAAAGTGGGACAATTATTTTGTCTGACTCGTGGTCTGTATGTATGCAGTGGTAAACCATGTCCTCCATTCAAGATTGTTATTCTCGATGAGGCTGACTCAATGACTTCTGCAGCACAGGTATATACAGTATGTAGACAGGAGCCTTACAACTCCCTCCCTTTCTCTCACCCCCTCCCCTCTGTCCACCCTGTCCCCTCATTCATTAACCCCTTTCTCTCACCCCCTCCCTCTTTATTTCCCTCCCCTCCGTCCACCCTGTCCCCTCATTCACCACTTCTTTTCTCTATTCTGTGTATTTAGGCTGCTCTCAGAAGAACAATGGAAAGAGAGTCAAAATCGACTCGTTTTTGCCTCATCTGCAATTACATCAGTCGGTACTGGATGCTGCCTTTCTCTCCTTCTCTCTCTCCTCTCCTCTTTCTCCTCCCCACCTCTCTCCCTCTTTTTCTTTCACATGCTCCACCCTGTGAGAGTCATCTTCGCAATTAGCTTTGTAACAAAGGTCATACGATGATATAGCGTTTGTTGCAAGAGAGCATAAGGGCCGAGGCTTGTGTCATAAGCCTACCAAGTCATCTGAATTGCGTAAATCTATTCCATATCACTGCTGCTTTCAATATTTGTGCACGAAAGACACCGGATACATGTGAAAACTACGAGGTAGAAAGAGAAAGGCACAACAAACAAGTCAGCCAAGTCAACTATATACACCCAGGACAGCTCTTTTTTCCATGGAAAAAGAAAAGCTGCATTTTTGTAACTAAAACTGAAATTCTTTCACTGGGCCATCCCTTTCATACACCATCTATCAATTTTTCCAGGATTATTGAGCCTCTCACGTCGAGATGTTCAAAGTTTCGTTTCAAGCCTCTGGCAGTGGATATTCTGAGAGAGAGGCTGCAGCACATTGCTAACAAGGAGAACGTTACTTGCTCTGATGAGGTATACTGTCGATGGCCGGCCGTTCTGTCAGTCTGCCTCTTGGCCGCTCAAGATCTCGTAATGGTCCCTGTAGAACCTCCTAACAAGGAGAACGTTACTTGCTCTGATGAGGTATACTGTAGAACCTCCGATAAAGGACCCTCCAAATAAGGGACACAATAGAAAAACTTCTTAATAAGGACACACTTTAACATTCACTTTTCTATTATTCTAGTACATATAAGACCTAGGAAGAGAGGACAACCTCCCTATAAAGGACGAAATTGCCCCAATGTGTCTTATTCGGAGGTTCCACTGTATATACCTCAAATAGTGCCCCTGTTCTTTCAGGTTATCGACACAATTGTGGAGACTTCTGAAGGAGATTTGAGAAAGGTAAGTGTACGGATTTGGGGCCCTCCAATACGTTCACAGTACGTCGCTTTGCTTGTCGCACCGTGCCAACAAGATAGAAATGGATTCCATCGTTGTGAGACGGCAATGCGACGTATTGTGAACCTAGCCTTATCCCCTGTGCATGTATAAGAGCATGAATTGTGTTATTTAGAAGAACGTTCAAGCAGTACTTGCGCGTTTGCTTCCCAAAATGGTCTTAACTGTGTCTTACTGTAGTAGTTGAGTAACTTCTATATAACAAGGTTTGACCAGCCACAGGCCAGCTGTATCTTACTGTAGTAGTTTAACAAGGTTTGACCAACCACAGGCCATCACCTATCTTCAAAGTGCAGCCAGGCTGAAAGGATCTGAGGAGATTGACAAACAAGACGTGCTAGAAATTGCAGCGGTAAGTAAAAACCATCTCCGGCCGTACGATGGTGCCTGTGACCATCTGTTGTTTTTTTCAGATAGTTCCGGAATCATTCATCGAGTCTGTCTTCAAAGCCTGTCACTCTGACTCCTACGAAAGACTCGATGCCTCTGTGAAGGTATATACAGCATAGTGTAAATGTATGCCTTCTGTCGTTACGATTGTCTAGAGTACAACTCTATCGCTTTTGGATCATGATTCTTACGTTTTTGAAGTGGGTTTAATGATATGTCTGTGCTATCTAATCAATATAATGTGTAAGCCTGATGAAAGGAAGGAGGAGGCAGTCTTGGAGTTGTTAGCTGCACACAGTGCACACAGTGCACGGAAAGACTAGCAGAAAGTTGTAGTAGCTGTTTAGTAGCTCTGTATATATTACACACCTCACTAGTATTATACTACACACTGACAGTAACTTTTAGACGCCATGCGTACGAAATCCAAAAAAATTTCACTCACTCAGTTGCTGTATGCCTTCATGTGACTCATCGCTTTTCTTCAAAATGTCCTGTTTGTTCTAGTAATAGAGTAAGAGAGTTGTTTTCCTGACACTTTTGTAAAAGTCTATTTGACTGTCTATAGCCTCGATATTGTCCTTGTAAACACGCTGGCATTCTCCCCCAACTTATCCCGTTTCTATGTTCCTTCACACACCGTGAATTTGATCAATCAAAGTGAGCATCTATGTCCCAAAGGTATGTCATTTATTGGTGCCTATATAAACAACCACTCCTGGGGCTCAGGTGAGGCGTGGTGTTCACATCAGCTACGTGTCCACAGGAGTGATAGCGGAGGAGATTTCTGCTTCCCAGACCCTCCGTCAACTCCACGATAGACTCGTCTCCATGGACCCTGTCTGATACACAAAGTCTGTGGTTGCCGAGAAGATGGGGGTAAACTATAATACTAAAGTTGTGATACACGATGCCAACTTTGGTACGTGGGATAAAGTCCCATGGAACGTAAAAATATGGTATAATATTATGAGAAGGCTACATGAACAGTGTATTGAGAACCTGTTGCTTGAGGTAGCATTGACAAGTGGCACGAGGCTTTGTATCGCACATCAAGTTGGCATCAGTGGATTGTGGACCTCGGGCTGGGGCTTGAGGTGAGGTGTCATCATTTTTCTGGGCAGATTGTGGACAGAGGTTATGATGGGGCAGACGACAGTATTGCTCCAGGTGATGGACCGGCCAGTGTTATCTGGACCCGATTTCTGCCCCCCACCCAATTCTCATCTAGGGTGTGGGGGACTCAACCACAATCGAAAAGGGAGTAACCCTAGAACGGGGAGTACCCCACACAATAGGTCTTATCTTTTGCCAAGGGGATAAAAATGCACGAATCTTGCGTCCGCACCCCCTTGGCATCGCCGCCCGTCCCACACCACTCGCCCCCCTCAACCGCCGACCCCACCAAGCCTTCCCCGGCCCGCCCCCCGCCGCCCCTCACCCCAGTCATACATGGGTCTTAGAAAGTCACTCATTTCTCCAACATGCTTATGATATATAGCACGTGACTACACGTCTCGGCAGTGTACAGTACTAATGATTCACTCTCTCTCTAATAACCAAAGCGCACAGCAGCAAGGCGGCTTATGCCATGCGCATGCAGTGCACCAATTCTCTCATCTTTAATCCGCCACGTGTGTCTGACCGAAATTAATGTGGCGCTATCTGTGTAGTCTCACATACAATAACTGCTAATTAGTATTGGCAATGACTTCATATACTGTATGTACAATACAAGATGTGATACGAAGAGCAACCGACACAAATTCAAAACTGCATCATCAGTGTAGGTTTGAGGTCCATAGTATATATTATTTGGCAACAGACAATTAGTTGTTAAGAGTGTGATTTTCGAGTCTTTTTTTCACTGGAGGTGTTTTTCTGTGGATCAGGTTCTGAATGCGGACATTATCTCGTTTCTCTTTCCTCTTTGCTCAGCCTCCTTCTTCTCTGTTGAATGTTTGTCCAGAGCTCTCCTGTCGTCTGCTTGTAGATCTGGTTCTCTCCTTACGGATACGCATGCCTTCAATACGACGATGCCTTTAGACCCACCACAAGCAATGCAATTTGTTCCAAAAAAACGATTTGAGTGCGACAGATAATGGTAGCATGCAAGTGCAACCAATTGCGAAATTTGAGTTTACATACTGTGTGTTTTTATAATATAGAGGACAATTCGGCAAGAACTTGCCTCGGCACAAAGATCACGGACTTCTTACCTACGGCCACTATCTCTGCAACTGATGTGTTAGATAGCAACGTTGTTGTTTAGCTTATAGAGCCCCTGAATTAACAACCCCCTCGGGGCGCGCATCGCGCAGCGAGGGTTACGGTAGTTGTCCGAGTGTGTCAGTCAGTCTGTAGTCTGTCTGTAGTCTGTCTGTTCAGACTGTCTGTTACCGAAGTTTTCTGCCACTCTACGGCGATTCACGAATCAGGTAAATAGCGATATGATCGGTTTCAGTGCTACACTGGGTGATTTTAAAAAAGGCGATTTTCGTAAAGCGACTGTGTGTTTAAAGTTATGGCGTGAAAAACCAGTGAACCAAGCCAATATGTAATTAGCACAGGCTTACATCGCTGCGTCGTTCGCTGCTGCTGTGTGTCCTGAGGCCACAGAGAGTCACAACGAATGGCATGTTCGACTCCCTCTTGCTATCTACTACTGTATCTAGCCCGTGGCCAGACGCTCCGCGAGCTTACAATCGGGAATACCTAGTAAAGAATACAAGCCCAGCCGCATCAATTAGTGCTACCGCCCCACGCGCATTGCGCATTTTCGCCGAGGGTTTGCACTTTTAAGTGCTTTTTCATTTCAACAATGGTATCTACATTTACACTCCTGAACGTACCTACTCCTCCCACTCATGCGCCTGACGTATCCAACGTCCTCAAAAACGTTTGATCTCGCACAGAGGTAGCCCGATTCTCTCCTCTCCTGGGAATCCTCTGTCCCCACTTCTCACGTAGCTGCATTGCTTGTCTTCTCTTACTTATCTGCTTCGTCTCCCTCTCCCGGCAGTAGAGCATGGCCTAGCTGGTAACAACAGACAGAGATTATCAGACAGAGTTTAACTTTGCTCGATAGGACCTGCCTGCAGTGGCTAATGGAGAACCCTAACTTTTTCTTTACTCCTTCATGAAGTGACGCCTGGACTTAATCTCTTTAGTTGGTCCCCTGACGAATGCCCCATCTGCATCCTGCTGGTACCTTCGTCTCCACCCAGCAGAAATCCCCCCTCCTCCCCCTTTCCTCCTCCTCACTTTCCTACTGACTCCTCAGTTGCACTCTCAGACACGTTGCGTGACCTCTTACCTTTCTGATTGGAGGAGAACATAGATAAAACATACATAACGTCTTATATAACTACTAACACTCCAAACCTTCCCCCCCAACGAAAATACAGCGGAGTGCAAATTAGGTGGGATGCTTTGGCCAGACCGTCCCTTCCTCCACCAATATCCCTGGTGTTTCTTCTTCCTCTTCGACCGCTTTCTTCCTTCTCCTCCCTCTTTGCCAGCTGTGCATTAGCTCATCTGTTCCTCTCTTTTGA